GGCCGCTCATTTGCCTCCCGAAGAAAACGTTATGACCACGTCCCGAAGTACTAAGCAGCCCGTCGCTCCGTGTGTCCCAGGGACCGCCCGAATAGGACAACACGTCCGTTGTTAGATGGATGGATGGATGGATGGGCGGTTTTCAATCTTGCATTTGACCGAAGAGTCAAACGAGGCCCAGCCTTGATACAAACTCTCTTTTGATTATGTGAATCTCGCGATGCTTGAATGTTTTGCCTTTCTGCGTTGCGCAGCATTCGCCGACAGCCTGCTTGTCCGTCGCCGAAACTTGTTGTAACTTGTTTCCTGTTCCTCTTTGTGTGGGCATGGCATCCGAACCGTGCTGCGACTGCTTCCGCTGCTGCTGCTGCCCCCATGGCCATGTATCGTCAACTTGCTGGGTTGGACATTATTCAGTTCACATTGCCGGCCGGGTCACGGCAATGCAATGCGGCTGGGTAATTGGCAAAAGCCCAGCAAAGCAATCTACTCCCCATTTACCGCCACAACTTGCTTTCGGTCGTTGACCGAGGAGCCCCATTTTGCGATCATCAGCGCCTCATACCCCAGAGTAACCCAGGCCCCATCATCTGTGGCGTTACAACGAAGCAACACCGGGCAAGGAACCCCGACATTGCGGGTTTTTGTATGTCCACTACCACAGCAAGTGTAAACTCTGTTGGAAGAAAGAAACTTGAACTTCTGAAGCTACCCCAATATTTTCTGTTACCTTTTCCATACCCAACTTACGTACTTCCCGCATCCACAGCGAGAACAATGGCAAGAAAGCCAGCGAGCGAGGCAGAAAGCTAGGGTAGCAGAAACTCTCTTTGTTCCATTATGGGATCATCACCCATGGGATTCTAGTGTCCGGCCCGTCACTTTTGACATTTGCCCATCTCTATTTGCGTTCACCCGGACCCTGAGAAACTTCCCTGGCAGCTGCTCTCGTGACTCTGGCCATTACGCAAAGTCTACGCACTTGGAGCTCTCTTTTGCGTTGGAGGATTGGCCCTCGGTCGTAACCTGGAGTTGTAGGATCGACGGAGCTCGTCCTGTCTAGCCCTGTCACTGACCCCCGTCGCCTCGTCCCTCCGCCTGCCTCTCAAAATCAAACCGAGACCCGTCCAAGGCTTGTACAGACCCCCGCCCACTGCTAGCGAAAATCCCACTTTTGCACAATATGCCCAGGGCCATGAGTAGTCAGAGGTCAAGAAGCGGCCAGCGGAGAATGGGCAATCAGAAAGTCTTGGCTTTCTATTACGAAACATCGAAACCCTTACTACACTAGTCGACATCTCCGTGGTCTGCCAAGCTAAGGCAGAGTAAGGTTTGGGACGATTTCGCCAAGAGCCCACGCCGCGGTAGCAGAGATAATACGCTACGAGCGAGCTACGAGGCCTTGCGAGCACATCGGACTTATTACACTGGCGAGGAAGGGGGTACGTACATCGCGTCGAGCCCGCCTGATCCCCCCTTCCCTTCCCTTCCCGGAGCGGCTCACGATCTCTGATCTAGCCGACGTCTCGGGCCCCGCAAAGTACCATAGGCCCGCGCTCTCCTTAGATGACAAGAGACGCGCACGCGCCTCACGGGGAGATTTTGTGGGAAAATCCAGCCGAAGATTCGGCTCGGTAGAATTTCCTCCAGCCATGCTTTAACATTCAAGCCACATCCGTTGAGTTTTGTCTAGTAGTGAGCCCGTCAAAAGTCAGCCTCTCGTAAAGCCATAAGCTGTCAAGTGCCTGACAACGTTGCCCGGATAAGGCCCAGCTTGCGGAGAGGCTGAACAATCCCAGGGCTGAAGAAAATGGAAGTCTACATGGAAGATCTAAATTATAGCTCAGCCGTGCGTTACGTCCGTAAGTCCGCCACGCCATCAAGCCATAGTTCCATGGCGCCATACTCTATTCCCGGGCTAGAAGGGGGAGAAGGGGGCGATGGCTTCGCGCCGGCGCCACGCCAACGCCACGCTACCGTTCAGACGGCAGATGCGAATCCCGTTGCTTTCTGCTGAAATAATGAGAGGCCATGGGAAAGAGACGGGAATTGCAAGCAATAGCCAGAAATGAACACCGGGGCGGTCGAGATTGGCCGTCGTGAAACAAGTCGTGACGGTCTTACAACTGAGCGTCGGTCGCTCATCAACGGAGATGTGTCCCAGTTGGGAAAATGCTAGTCGCTCCTCCGAAAGGTAAAACGGGCATCACGGCTTTGAAGGAGCGGCATCAACGACAATCACAAGTTGGTGCCTGGCTAGCGGGTTGGAAGGGATGGACGACGATTAATGGGCTGGCAGGTCGGGCCGGGCCAAGGACGAGCTGTCCCGTGTGGCCAGGGCAAGATGTGTGTGTGTGTGTGTGCGTATGTGTATGCATAGGCGTGTGTGTGATGGATGCGATGTGATAATACAACACACTTCGTCTGCCGCCGCGGAACGTCCGTCTTTCAGAGTTTGTTTCTGAATGAGTGGGTTCTCCGGACCCGGTAGTGGATCGGTCACCATCCTGTTCTTGTTGGCGGTTTTCCCAGGACCTGTGCCTCACGGCGCTCGCCTTGCCTTGCCATTCGAGCTCCGGGACTGTCAGGCACGGAACGGAAGACGTCTTGGCGACTCACGGTGATATGGGGAAGAGGGATGGGGCTGGTGAGGCAAGCCGAGCTGGGGTCCGCCAACAACATACGAGGCCTTCACCCGGCCGAGCGACCGGTGTACTCTCCGATGCCAGGTTGGCGGAAAGTCCGCGCTAGAGCTGGGTCTGTGGTACTTCGGAGTAATTAACGTACCCAGGCAAAAAGACTGAGCACTGGGCAGTACCTAGTCATGAGAGAGTAAGAGACAGATAGCTTCCAAGGGGACAGTGAAGAAAATGGGCGGCACAGGGGCCAAGTTCAGATCCCGAAGATGCTGGGGGGTCCCTAGGGACTGCGGATGGAAGGAAAACAGAGTTTTGGTCCAAAACTTAGACAGCTTGTGTGGCTTCCACATGGTTATCATTTTTGGAAACCCCATCTCACTCATAGCTGACAACGTCTGACGAAAAAGTCAGAAAGAAGGGTTCTGCTCCGTGGAAAATCGGGTCGAGTCAGGATTCGACGGTCCACCGGTTCCCACCAGTTCCACAGATTGGACGTGCTGCCCTGGTTCTCATTCTAGAAGACCGAGAACTTTAAACAATGGGTAATGACAGGGGTAAAATGTGCTTGTGTGGGTTGAGAACGAGCCGTGAGGGTCTCGCTGATCATGCAGACGCCTGACAAACGGGACACACCAACAGTGACAGCTCCATCTGCGTACGGATACTGCGTATGCGTATGCATATGGCGGCACGAGAGTCCTACACACTCAAGGGAAGCTGTGGATGCTTCCCGTTTGAGGTACACGGTCAGGGCCCGGTCAGCCCGCGGTGAAGCGGTCGCCAGAACCCACCTCCCAACTCCATTGTTCCGTCATACACGGTGTAATACCAAACCTTCACGTCCACTTTGTTTAGTGAGAGTGGACATGACCGTCCGTTGTTGTCGTCGTCGTCGACGTCGGCCAGCTCCTACCGTACCGCACTCCTCTCCCTCGTCCTCGTCCCGAGACCCACGGGGCCTCCGAGTGGGGAGGCGAGTCGCGGAAAGGAAGGGCAAAGCGAGAGGACGGCACACCATCGCCCTCCCGTGGCATCGTTCCGCACTCTCAGACTCCAGAGTCCAGAGGCCCTCGAGGGTCTGGACTGCCCCCATGCACTTCGGGAGATTGTGGGCGGGTCAGCCTGGACGGGGGAAGGCACATCGTCGTTCCCCTCTGCCTCGACACGGACTCGTTTTGTCGCGTGGCTATTACCAGCCCCGTCTACTATCGTGAGCCCCCTTTGGTCGGCCACATTCCGTTGCCCACTCCTACCACCACCACCACCTTCGGTTCATGTGGTGGGCGCACACCGGAGCTGCGTCACCTGTATCGATCTGGACATCACGGCCGGCCGGGAATCCCCTCACCGCGTCAGCTCGGTGGCCTCGCGCCGCAGCCAGGCCGTAGTTCTAACATTCTCCATCTGTTTGTCACGGACCTGAGCGCAAAAGCCGACAGTAGCACGGCAGGAGCACAAAGCTCGCTCCACCACTAGATCGCGATCTCTTGGGAACCCTGAGTTGAGCATGATTCTCGAAGGCCGGAAGAACATCGCTAGCGCGGTTTGCAACACTGCGCTTGGACAGCGCTGTCTCTCGTCTGCCCAGTGCCTCTGTTCCGGCCTGAACACGAGCACCCTTCATCCGTTCCGGTCTCCACGGCCCAGGGCCCTCATCGGGCCGCTGGCTTTCGGGCATGACGTTTGGGAACAAAAGATGGGCAAAACCTTCGACCTCCCACACGCTCGGGAGTTACGGCTCCTTGGCTGCCCCAGCCAAGTCCGCAATGCATACCGCCAGCAAACACAAATAAGTCCATCCGTTGGTCAAATTGCCGCGCAGTTCCGGTAGCACTTTTGAATCGAGAGTAAAATTCTATCAGGCCAAGCCAAGTACATGTATTATACACACAAAACCGCACAGAGTTTGCGAGTCTCTTGGTTGCGGGATGACAATGCTGGATGCTGGTCTATGGTTGAGTGGATCTATAAGCCGTCAATATCAAAGTAGGGCCGATCTGGCCGTCAATCCCGAGAAAAACACGAGCGAGTGTGTCGCCCATTGATAGGTAATACATGATTAAAGGAGGAGCTGGAGGAGCACGGCATCCCAGGGCCCTTCCGACCCGCCGGGCAAGAGTGGAGGTGTGGTGACGGAGTTACGGTCCCATTTTACGGCCGGTTTATTTGCTCCGCCGTTTGCCGATCTGCCATCCCCATGATCTGAGCACTTTGACAACCTTTGGTGTTACCGCTGCAGTCAGAGGGACTCGGAGGAAAATGAAACTTTTGTGGATTGCGTACGCCAACGCAAGTTGAGTTCCCAGGCCTGCAACGACGCAAATTGGTGAGTTGTTCCGTCTCGTCTGCCAAAAGAGGGTCTCAAAGCATCAAGGGGACGAGGTGCATGAACTTACTGGCTTCTGCCCGGTTGCGCTCCTGGGCTTCTTCCACTCCCCAGCCTGCCATTTCGACAGCCTCGCTGACATCGTTGCTGCCAAGCTGCTGAGTCTCGGCCTTGGTAAGCGCCGCTCTGTACTCATGCCACCAAGTCTTGACCGACTCAGGTATGATTTGCTTGATATGGGATGTTACCCAATGCTCGAGCTGGCCTATGGTTAATGTTGTCAGTATAGCGGATCCAACACAACTGCAGTTGCTTTTTCGCTCACCAATTCTGTCTGTGCCAACAACCCGGACGAGCAAAAAGCAGAAGGGAAAGTCAAGGACGCTCAAGGCCAGATACACTCCCACCGCCGACCAACCGTACTCCTTGGAAAGTTTCTTCAGCCTCTGACTTAGTGACAGCGATTCCTGGGCGGGTTTCCCGTCCGCAGTATTCCTCTGTCTGGCGGAAAAACGAAATGTCCGGCGCGAGGCTCGGGACACGGTCTGCAAACGAGCTGCAATCCAACTCCAGCTGTTTATTTGGGCGCGACGAGTCGTGGACTGTGATGCGCCCGTCCTCGTTCCTCCAGCGCGCGAGGGCGTTGTCGTGAGCGGGCGTCTAGGCGACGTGAACTGCCTCCTCCATACTGCCTCCCAAGCATTTTGTCTTGCTGTCGGCATGGCGCGGCGCGGTATGGCCGCGACCTGCTGGAAGGCTGGTCGCATCATGGTGTTGAGTAGTGGTGATGGTGACGCCACCTGATGCTTAGCACAAGATTTGTTGCTCCTGGTATGTAGGAGGCGCGGGCGGACAGGCTCGAGTCAAGGGTGAGGGCGGTGGTCGAGACTCCGGAATATCGATGGTGAGGCGCCGAGCTCGATTGCGTTGCAGAGTTTGTGGAATTAGTGTTGGGAGCTTGTGGTGGCCTGCTGAGAGCTTGAGGTCCGAATCGCCGTAAACTCCGGAACGGGATTGATTGCGAGTACTGATGCGCAAAACCGTATTGCACCGGATGCTTCCGAAGGTTCCTCGCGGGGCTGGAGCGATGAATTCAATCTGCCCACAGGCCGGGTGATTCGGATTGATGAGTGCCCAGTGTTGGTTGAGTGGCGTGCGTCCCGTGGAAGCCACGTTTATTCGCCTCGCTTCTTTGACCGTCGATTTGGGAAAAAATTCTGTCGAGAATGGAGCTCTTCCGACGAACTCCTAGCTCCGGCGGCGTCGTGGGTACCTCTTGCTGGTGAGGATAGGACGGAATCTCACGGAACATGCCGTGTCTGCTGTGACCTCATGGCCACGTGATACGTCCATCACGGAAGAGGAAGCCGCCGATGCCGACTACATTCCTTCCATTTCATTAGGTCAGCCATCCGTACGAAAAGCTACGACACTGAAATGTAGGCGGGGTCCATCTGACCCCAGCTGTTGTCCTGGGTCGGATATTACCTCAGCCGCGAGGGGTAGCTGCTGACATAATGTGGGGTCCTGCGCAGCTGGTGCTTACACCCCTGTCCGATGTTCACCTCCCGTGTTGGTGCTCGTGCCACATACGCATACACTTTCCACCCCCACAGCAACTTTACGCCCATTACGCACCACTACGACGTCTTCGAGCTACCTGACACCAGACAACTTTCCCACCAACTAGATGCTTCATTGTTTCACACGGACCAGTCCGTCCATCAGACTTGCTGCGCCCAGCCTTTCTGCAATAGCAGTGAATCACTAATTCGCAATCAAATTATTAAGGTGTTGACAAGCGCCGCGCTTTGGTTTTGGTCTCGGATTCGCATCAATATGCGAGCACCCACTGAGTTAATGTGCCACGGCGCTGTGAGTTGGGTTTCCGTTTATTGCCCAGAGTCTGAGTCTGAGTCTGAGTCTGCGTGGAAAACTAATTTGGTCACCTATTTCCCTCAGGATCTCTCCGGTGCCCCACGATCTCCTCCGGGTTGAGGGTTTGTGTTGGAAAGACCCAGGGCCCAGGGCTACGAGCAGGGGCTCCCACTTGGGAAGCTCCTCGATGGCTTAAGCTCCGTGACACCTCGGAGCTTCACCTGGTCGGTTGCACTGCCCTCCGTCCAAAGCTTCCCATGCGTTGCTTGAAGCAGGACCTTTGTGGTCATGTAAGCTTCGGTCTACCACCATTCATCCCGTCCATTGCCACGATGTGGTATTCGGTGAGCCTGCTTAGGTGTTGATGGTATTACTCCAGGAGGCAACCCAACAGAACGACGAGGCAAACTCTGTCGAAGTCAATGCCATCACTACTGTCAACTTTCAGGTTTTGGGCCAAACTTTAGGAAACAAAATCGCGATGCAGTGTCACGGTTGTCCGGCAAACAAGAATGTCGGAGGTAGTCCGAGGATTTTCCAGGTGGACATTCGTCGGATTTAGGTCCGATCAGCATTGCCAATGGCACCCCAGCTTCTCCGTGGAGTTCAAACATGACTGTGTCATTGGGCTCCAGGTTCAAGCTCCAGCCTCTCCCTAGCTCCTACTCCAGCTACAGGCTGCAGTTCTCAGTGCCCAGATCCTCCAGCCGCCCGACCGGCCGCATTCCCGTCCTCGAGAGCCGGCCGGACGACACGACGAGTGGAGTCCTACCGGCCATGCCGGCTCAGGGTCATCTTGGCCTTCAGAAGTCTCTTATATCACCATGGCGAACTCTGTCAATTGAATCGAGTTTGGAAGGTTAAACGTTTCAGTTCAGCCTTGTTGACCGCTTCGAGTACAACCAAAGTTTGCAGGCGACAGGTGATCACGGTGATCTCTCCGCCTAGGCAGGGTAATTGGAGGATATCAATAGCGCAAACTCTCTCTCAGGGACCCTTCAACCCCGTCCAGGTCCCGGTAGAGCGCTTGCGACGACCGTGCGGGGGCCCGGCAGGCAATGGGAAGGGACTTATGACGACAAGGTTTGCGATACAAGTACGAGTGCGGTGTCGTCAGGGATGCAAAAGTCAAAATCCCACCAACGACTCCGCCGGGCTGAAAGGTTGGTATGCTCTCGTGATTTCTACATTACTCACTGCTTACTTTTCGGCCATTCGCCGCGCAGGACAACGTGTTGTTGGTTGGTAGTAAATTAAGGCCACGCCTTGCACGACTCTGGCCCTTGGCTCTGGGCCCCTCCACCGAGCTCCTCCGAAGCGGAAGCGTGCACTTCGGGTCCGGCTCGCGGTTCGCCGCTCTCTGGAGTCTGGATATCTGGGTCCCCTGATGCAATGCCACCCCACTACGGATAATTTGCTTGGCGCCAAACCTGGATCGGATACAGGTATCCTGGTGGTCGTTGACTGGTTGAAGTGCAGATAGGGGGGTGATTCTATCGTAGATCGGTGTGGGGGGGTGTGCGCGTGCTGTTGGAGAGAGTGTGTCTCTAAGCCTGTCTGCCTCTCCACCCACACACACATCGCTGCAGAGAATGGACGTTGTCTGTGTCTGCAGTGACTTGCAGGTTGCGGGATGTTGCTGCTGATGACACAGGCACACACAACTCTCACAGTAGTTCGGATGGTTTTAATTCTTGTGAGCTTCCTTAGCCACCGCTTCGAATTCTTCGCGTGGCCATCGCGGCTAATGCGGGATCAGGTTCCTAATAGGCTTTTTCTCGAATCTTTCCATCTTCGTCTCCGTGTTCGAAGGCCTCCAACAGCCATCGCCTTCACCGAGGCTCTCGAAGTTTAACTGTTGCCGGACACAATGCCTTGGCATAAACTGTCATGAGCCCACCAGCGGCACGTTTTGCGAATTATTGCCCTTTTTCAACCTAACGCAACAACATGCTGGATATTTCTCGTCTCTTCCCCATGCGCAACATCGTTGTAGCGGTCCACTTGGTGGCGGGTATCGTGCATCGTATTCGATACTTTTGGGATAAGTACACTGCCTCCCCGCTCGTTCTCGATCCATGATTCCACATGGGCTGCGAAAGATGCCGGCCGGATAGCGCTTCCAGTCGGGGTTGGACTGCAAAGCCCTGGCGCGGTTGGAGCGCGGTTGGGTCCCCTGGGCAAGAGATTGCCCCGCTGGATGATGGTAACGTTGGCGAAATATCGTCACTGTTAATAAAGCGTATTGACATAAGCAGCGCGGTCTTGAGCCTCGTTCTTGAGTCAGGGAGAGCGGTTCGCATGGGGTTTTTTTCGTCAAGCGCTCTAGCGGCTCATTCCGCCGTGAGAATGGGGGCCAGTAATAACCGCCAAGCTCCCCAAGTTCCAAGCAACAAAAGAAAAGACCCGCCGTTTGTTACGTGTCGAAACGGTCCACTATTGAAAGTCCCAATTTCTACTAATACTGGGCAACCCGACGTCAAGAGTTGAATCAGCAACATGGGACCAGTTCAGACATGGCCCCCCCATCACCCCCATACCACAGCAAGCCACATTGCCGAGGGAATCCCGAGCACGTTGTTGCTCAAGGAAGACCTGCTCCTGAAAGGCATGATGTTTACCAAAGTGCTGTCTATCTGTCTGTCTCTACGGGCAGGCGACTCGAACTTACTTTGCCTTTTGACATCTGACTCGTTTCACGGGAACGGCTCAATCTGGTAGGCTTCTAGAAGCGTGGCGGGTTGTTTCAGGTAATTCTCGCTGACAAAGAGGCGAAGACCGAGACTCGAAATCGCGAACAAAGAGGCGGCTCCGTGGAAAGGGGATCCCTTGGTGAGTGGAGCGGCGGAGGTCCCAGATAGGCAGTCCGATGTCTGGATGGTTTTGCTTTTTTCGTCTTTAAAGTTTTTCTGCCTTTCCGTAATCGTACCACGGCAAGGCAAGAATGGCATTTGCGGTGAGCGAAGACAGTTTGTTTCATGTCACTCACATACTTGGACTCATGTTTTTCTGCCCAGATGTGGCGTCAATGACAGCGATGATGGGATGTTGTCTGCTGCCCGCGAATCCACGATTCGCAGGTGGCCGCTGGCGGACCGGGCGGGACGAATCCCGGGATCGATCCCCACCACTCCGTGTAAGTTGGTGGTGGTGTGCGAAGAGAAGATGTGTGGACGGAGACAGGCAACTCAAGCCACCACCACCACGAGAGCAGAGAGAGTGTGTCTGTCTGTCTGCCCGGCCGTTGCTCACCCGTGTGCTACCACGTGCAGCGACATATCCTAACTGACGTATGCAGGTAGGGTCATGACATGTAGATAGACCGACCTCATGACACGTCGTGAGAGTGGCATCTACCCTTCTAGCTACGTTGCACCCCTCACGCAAACTCAAAATTGCGGTTCGCGTATCGGGTGGTGACGATACCGTCCCTTTCTGCTACGGCTGGCAAGAGGTCCCCTAAATTCGAAGAGCCTTGCTCCCAGTCCGCAAGGTGAACAAGCTTTCGATTTAATCAAATCAGCGCTTTTTTGCCCCAGTACAGTAACTTTCTGCCTTTTTTTTTTTTTTTTTTTCGTTCATTCTCCTCTCACCCCCCCCTTGCCAAGATCTTTAATGAATATCATTGGAATACTTTGCTTTCGATTGAGTTGACCCTTTGCCTGGTTTTATTGAATCATCTGGTGATGGAGAAATGTCTCGTCCCGCGCCTCGAATTTCCCTGGTCTCGAGGAAGATGGACTTGGAGTTACAGTTCCACAAAACTCCATGATGGCAGTTAAAATGTCGCCTGCCAACCTTTTCCCATGACTTGACAGACACCTACATGATTATGACGAAACCATTACCTCTTTGGGTAGGTTCGCCTGGAGCTATCGTCGTGGTTTGGTATCGGGACGTGGGGGGACACGCTTGTTGTTCCTCCCGTTCTTCCTCGGAGCTCCACGCCGCTCGGAGCTGGAACTTCTATGGAAGGGGCCTCCAGCTTCCGGACGGGATCCGTTGTCCAAGTTTTGCCGGCCGGGCTGGGCTCCAGGAACTCACGCGGAACCCGGAACGGGATTGCGTGCAGCTGCCAAAGGTTAAAGAGGGTGTGTGGTGGTGTGGTTGTGTGTGTGTGGTAAGATTGTGTGCACATACCAGACCAAACATCGTCATGTGTCACTTTCGATCAAAGCCCGCGAAAGCGTCTTCAAAGGCCGAAAAGCTTAAAATATTGGTCATGATGCCACTTTCCACTACAATTCCTTCCGAGTGCGACAATAGTTACGACGGAGGAATTTCAGTTTTCCCAATTATCCATGAACTCTCCGCAAATTCCAGTTTCCACCCTACTAACTCTCTCCGCATACGCAGTACGCACTTGCGATGAGCCCTGACCGAAGGTTGCATAGCCAACTTGCACAGAGATTCAGAGTTACAAAGAAGTAAGCTCTGCTGCGCCACCTTAACAAGATGAGAGAAAAAACATCACCATAGCTCCGCAAAGAAGGGAAACTTGGTTCGTTGATGCGAAAGGTAGACAATAGCCTCGGTCCAACTACAGATCTACTATGGCCATCGAGCGCTTACAGATAGCTGCCCATGCTCTGCGCTTAATCCTGCTACATATTCGTATCGTAGATTCTCTCTAACGTCACGATATAGACAGCCGCCGTCCGAGCTGTGACGTCGATGTCGATCAGCGGTCAGGGAGCCAGGTCATCGTTGGGTGACCTAAAGGTCTATACCTACCTCCAAGCTCTTCTGACAGACGGCCCTGGGTAATCATTCATCAGAAGGGATATGCTGCTGTCGTCGAACCTGGGAGCTAGCCAGTTCGTGAGAGTTTTCGTTCACGCCCCTAGAACGAGTAAGTCGAACAACAACGAGGGTAGCAATGGTTGTGAAGGTTCTTCCATTGGAGCTTCCATTCAGGGCCCTAGCTTCGGAAGGGGGTTGTCATACTGGAGATCAAGCATGAGGTAGCGCAGCGGGCGCCCAGTGCTCAGGGAGTGGGAAAGCGCGTGGGAGAGAAAGTGGGAAACCAGTCATCGTGCCATGACGAGCAGCGAGCCGCCGTGGTGCAAGAGGTTCGTCACAGAAAAGACGCTGGGCGGGACGGAGGGTTCCCGGTCTTGGCACGGGTCGGGTGCGAAGACTTGTGGGCTTCGAGAAGGTCGGGAAACGTTCCGTAGAAGCATCATCGGATGCGGGGACAGGGACACCGCCGGGAAAACGGACGCAGTAGCAGCAACAACAGCCGTAGCAAGGCAGTTGCAGCAGCCGGTCGACTGAGTCGGAAGCAGACGATGTCCCTGCCGTGCCGCGGTGAGAGATTGGTCCTTTCGCTGCCAAGGGTTTGCGTCATGGTTCCGCCGAGAAAAAGGACGAGCAGAGTTGTGTGCGGCAGGCAAAGTTGGGCTTCTGGAAGCTGTGAGGAATCAGGGAGCACCTGGCATCGACACCTTAGTCATGTTCTGTAGGAGTGCTAACAAGTCAGTCAACCTTGCTATTCGAGGGTGTTCACTGCAGCATGCAAAAGCAACGTGCCCACGTTTTTAAGTTGGTGATAGCGTCTTTGCGTCCTGCGAGATAGAGACACAGATCCACCGTGGAAACCGGCGAGTTCCCGACTCAGGTAGATCTCCTCTTTGTGCGTAATCATGGTCTGAATATGACGTGAAGCGGGTAGGATGACGTTGAACGGAGCGTTAAAAGTTATAAACAGAGATGACATATGACGCCAGGTTTTGAACTGACGTATGTTACGTCGGAACAGTCTCTTTGCTCCTTCAGTTGCTCTCGGAAAGCGACTCGGTCGTTCCGATTATTTGATTCGGCATCCCGAACGAGCATGGGAGATGTTGAAGGTTGAAAGCAGACTTTTTTCTTCGTGATTTCGCCACGCCCCTGTCATCCAATGCAACAACGTGTCCAGCTTGGCTCTGATGGGCAGAACATTGTTAGCGCGCGCGAACGTTGGATGAACAGAGTTGGATGCTTTCCGTTACCATGGATAGCTGTGGATCTCTCTTGTGGTTGACTGCATTGCGCGGAATCCACAGCGGTCAAGAATAACTTGAGACCCCGAATGCGAACATCTCGGACAAGCCCTTTGTTGCCAAGAAGACGGGCGATGCAGTTGGCGTTTAGACATCGACTTCGTGAAAGCGTAATTCGAAATTGCATTCACGAAGGTGACTGCCCACAGCAAAAACTTACGCCGGGGTGGAGATTAGTTGGACCTATATCGTATGCTATTCCAAGAAACCCTCGAGCCAGAGTAAGCGCCGGACGCCGCCTGCCGGCCTCTCGGACACGTCGGCGAATATGTCAGCGGACGAGATCTCCTGCGGCGTTTGCGTTTGTTCGGCGATGTGGTGTTTTGAAAACGCCGGTGCTGCAGGTGGCCTGGCGTTGCGCGGCAATTGCGATATACGGCAAATGAAAAAAAAACAATACGACACCCCTTCCCGAAATCCTATCCGAAAAAAAGCCCAGTCTGGCCAAGACCCAAGACCGAGCAATCTCGCGAAGCTTAAGTTGCGTCGGACGAGTGGAGGTTTAGTGATCTTACCGGCGGATGCCGCCTCTCGAAACTCCAAGAGAAGCATCGCATGCCCATTCTAGGGGGCTCATCAACAACCGCCCGCAAGCCGAAGGTATTGTGTTGTACGGGAACGAGCGTTGGCTCGAATTGAATGACGAGAATTTGGGCGAGTGCCACGTAACGCTGAGGGGTATGCACTACATGAGGCCGTGAAAGCTGAGAAAGGCTGAGTAGGGGTCGTGGGCAGAAAATACCGAGTCTCTGGATTTCGCTTGGCCAGCGCTTTGAAGTTTTGAAGTTTGGCTAGACCATCTATCATCTCGAAAACCCCCGTGGTTGCCCATCAACTAACCCATATCGGAATGGCAGATTGCTGTCAAAAGGATAGAGTTGTGATCCAAAGACACAGATAGATGAGGTCCTAAGGGAGATCCTCATTAATTTCATTCACCTTGATGAATTATAGCGAGCTTTTCAGCTTGTGCTGGGTACGCTACCCGCATCCGACGATGGCCTGTATCTTCAAAGATCTGATACGCCGCCGGTGGGATGCTACATGCTCTCACAGACCCTTGACTGAGACTGACCGTATCGTTAGAACGCCGCCAAGAGCCTCACATAAGAATTGTTGGCTGCTTTGAGTATCTCTTGCGCCCAGGGCTCGCTATCGCGGACGTTGACGAGTCGGATGCGAGCAAGCGCCCGATCTAGAGGAATTTCTTCATAATGGTTCTGAAGGCAAAAACCTTCGACAGGCGGTGTATGCGAGCAAGACTGGGTTTACACAATATCACGGCAACTCAAATTAATGATTGCTTCTTCTACCTTTTGCGCCCAGCCAAATCCAATTTGTGGAGGTTTACTGAATATTCACTATGGAATAGAGTGCAGCTGCGGCGGCAGTTAAATTGCAAACGAAGAGTATGGCTCTGCTTTATGATGAGTGTGGCATGCTTCATGAAATGATTGTCCAGTGTTTTCATCAACTTGCCCGTAATATGATGGCCACCTATTAAGTGAGTCTCATGTCAGTTAATGAGCTCTCATGTCAGTTAATGAGCTCTCATGATCGTCCAAGACAAGGGAATCAATGTGTAAATAATTTGATCAGTTTAGGAGACATCAGTAGCCATTTCCTTAGCGCTGCAGTTCGATAAGCCAATTCCACGTGCGAAAACAACGAATTACAGGACCAAATCTGAACATAAATACCAGCAAACCATCATATGGCCCTAGAAAAGAAGAGAACTTCAAGTGTAATAGCCCATTGTATTCGAAAAAGCTTCACTACTCACCATTAATTCCCAACCTTTCATTTGATGAGGACAGCTTATCACGGGAGAGGACCAGAATATGCATATGGCAAGGACCTCTTAATGAGAGGGAGTGAGCCAATCTCGCTGAGGATGGGCATGGCTGTAGAGCCTTGTATTCCAATAACAGCTTGTAGATCCCGACTTGATGACTTTGCTTCAGCTCACACCGCAGAAAGCAACGGCCACACATTCCAGCTTTACCGCTGTGTTTGCCTGTAACATGTCGAACGGGTTGGTTGTCACTACGCCTTTGTTAATCTCAATGTGACCGCATTTATCAAAGAAGGGTATAATGCTGTTCAATGACTACTTGTATATAATATCTGTATCCCGTGCTCTTGATGCTGTTACCCAAAGTGAGAGTCGTGAGCCGATCTGAGGTATTCGATGTGATGATTGTGAAGACCCAACGCCAACCAAGCAATGCTACTTAATCAGTCACCCCTTTTTTGTTTCCCACGTTCCAAATCCCGACCTCGTATGTGTTCGTTTGGCCGATGTATCTCTATCCTTTGCCCCTTGCTTACTGCAGCAAAAGTGCCTCGGTGTTCAGTACACCAAAAAGGTTCTCAACTTCTCTTTGTACGTATTCCAACTCCTGGGCGACCTGAGCCGTGACCAAGGTGTACGCGTACAACAACGCATAGTCCTTCTCTTCAACAACGATGTCGTCCTTACTGTTGCCGTTGCTGCTCCCGTTACTGTTTCCATTGCCATTCGGTTCCGCCCCTGGAGTGGACGGCTGCGTGGATGGATGGTGCTCTTTTCTGAACTGGTAGATTTTGCCCAGCAGCCGGTCCTTGTTGCCAACCACCGACGGAATGGCGTCAGTGAGCGGATACTCCAACATGATTGAGCTGGCGAGCACCTGGAAAACGTGGCAGATACGGTCGCAAAGTTGTGCGCGCTCTGGGGCCGTGTATTCGAGCAACGCTTTCTCGCCATCCGACAGTTGGCCGCGTCTTGAAGTGACGAGTCTCATGGCATGGAAGCCATCGAGAATCTTGCTGGTAGACGACATGATGCGGGCATATGCCGCATCGGGAAACGGGCCTCGAAGCTCAAATTCACTCTTTGCTGCGTTACGCAAAGCCTCAAGTTTCGACGCTGTGATTTCGTCAGCGGTAGTCGACCGTTGTGAGTGCAAATTTCTTACCGTAACGTTGCAGAGCCTGCTCTTCTCCAGCCCTCATGTAAGACCTTGTGTTGTCGCTTCGGAGCAAGATGGCTAGCGGCCCTCTCTTCCAGATAAGTCCCAACTGCAGGTAGAGCACAGAGAGACCCTCCTTGAATTTCTTTCTGCCTGAGATAGGCCAGATCGCACGACACACAATGATACCCCACAAGATACCAAGCGTGACGGCGACAAATCTGTGGTAGCAAATCTCAAACATCAAAGGGTTGGCGCCACCTTCATCGTCATCATCGTCCTCCACCTTCTGTGAGAGCGAGTATGCGTAAAGGACTGTGACGTTCCAGGCCAAAATCGTGATTCTACCGAAGGGGGCGTTGTTCTTCACCAACATCATGTAGAAGCAGAAAAAGCTCACCATCCAGCCGAAGAATGCAAGAATAACACCGTTACCTTGACTAATTGCCCAGGCCGTCATCGCGAATACTACTCCAGCGATAGTGCCGATGAACCTGGCAGTACCGGTAGTGTTGGCAGCGCCTACCGTCATTGACGCAACAATCATGAAAGACAACAGACCCCACTCGCCTCGCCAGTGTCGATATACATCTTTGGTTGCCGGAAGGAAAGCACAAGCTGCCCAGAGGGCGGCACCGAAGCCAACCTTGACACCAAAGCGAACTTAAAGACATGTTAGCAACGGCCTGCCTTCCGTGTATTATTTCGTTGACTTACTGTCATCACGGGACAAGACCCTGAGGAATTTGAGAATCACTTGCGAAAGCAGACGTAGGATCGTACTCGCATTCGGAGCAGCGTCCCAGCTGAACGTGTCTCTTCGTTTGATCATGGTATCCGGAATGCCTCTAGGCACGGCGGATTTTCTGAGAGGCCGGACAGGCTGCTCAGTCGCATCCATTGGCTGATGCAGCAGGCGCTCAGCATCAAGGTTGTTCGGGTCCGGTTCTCTTGGTGGCGAGGGGGTGTTCCAATACTTCCATGGCTTGAGCCAGTTCCAGCTGCGAGAGCCTAACTCCCTGTGGTACTTCAGCTCCTCGAGTGCTGTCAAGTAGGCATCGATATCCTCGGCAACGTGTTGCAAGCTGAAACTGAAGTGTCCGCAAGCAGCCGCGACCTCTTCAATATCTGCCTGGATCTTCTCCGATCTCGACCGCCCGAGCTCAATGCTAGTGTACAGTTCTTGGAGCGCGTTGGTCCTCGCATGGTTGTACAATGTCATGGCGTCCTGCAAACTGTGCTTAAAGTGCGGGTTAACAGTGATCTTAGAGTCCGCACCAGCACCGAAAGCCTGCTCTCTGAGGATCTCCGAAAGCGTGTATGCAAGCGACTTCATAGAAGGACCCAACAGCGCTATGAAGAGTTCGAAGATCTCGCTTGGTGATTTGAATGGAGGGAGGGGTGGTGGCGGCCCATCTGGTGTCGCTTCAGGGCTGGGGTGGTCGTCAATTTCGTCCTCAAATTCCTCATCCTCATCAATAGATGCCAAGGTAGCAAATCTGTCTCGGGAACCCTTCAGATACTGTGACATCGCACGAGAAAGTGTGGGGGAGAAGACAGTGCTGCCAGGAGAGAGCTGTCCAGCCATGGGATCTTGAGGCAGCTCCTTTAGAAGACTGAACTGCGTGTCAGCAGCACTCCTTAAGCCCCCGATAGCCTGCGACAGTGACTCGAGCGACTTGACTAAAGCCTTCTCCAGGTCGTATACCTTCTCGCGGCCCAAAACCCAATGCTCGAACTTGGACTCCCTAAGGCTCTTCGTCATCTTAGCATGAGTAGCCTTGTACTGCCTCACGACGAAGGCGAAGTCCCCCGACATGATCTCGTTCTCTGAGCCATTCAAGAAGCCGCGAGTGATCATGGCGAGCATGTCTGAGAGGGATACGGCACCGGCGTTCAAGGAGGTGCGCAACAATGCTCTCGCTGAGACTCTCCAAAGCAATAGGTTGACCGCCACGGCGATGGTGATGCCCATGACCAACATCTTAAGGACCTGGACTATCTTGGCCTCAGAGAAGTGCCCCTCATGAATCGCCTCTTCTCTGGTAATAACGGCAATAATGGCGATAGATGCAAGAGTACAGCCGACATTGACTAGCGGGTTATTGAGCCTCTGCTTGACCCAACCAACGAAGCCAAGACCGCCGCCGATGCAGAATGTGAGAATGAGAACATGTGACAACGGGATGAGACCGAGCTTCCCTCCGACGAGAACAGAGAAGAGCATGGAGATGACCGAGACGACCTCGGCGTACAAGACAGCAATAGTGGCGATGGCTGCGGCCTCGACCATGGAACCCCACGTCCGACTGGCGTGGAAATAGACCGTCAGAGTCGCGACAACGTGCTTTCCATCAGGCTTGCCTAGAAACGTCGATATCGGTGCAAGGAAGGTTGCCAGACTGGCGAGGAGATATGCGACGGAGCATTTCACCACTCCCTTGCCCGCCGGTGAAAGCAGCCAGTCCCAGAAGCGGGAGGCGCTGGTCTTGATATTGTGTTTGACGACATTGAAAGATTCGCCGGTCGTCTCGGCGGTCAGGAGAGATCGGTAGCCGTCGACTTCAGGAGAAGGGATTTCGATGCTCGAGCCACGGAGGGAGAATTGGCGGCGACTGCGTTCGCCGGTGCCGGGAACAATGAAGGTGCCGTTTCGAAGCTTCTGTAACGGTGGCGCATCGTCAGCTGCAGACCTCGAGGACCCGGTCAAGGGCCAGTGACAGAAGATGTACTCACGCTCCGCTTGGAAGGCCGCCTAGGAGGCCATTGGTTTGTGGCCGACGAGCTCATCACGGTTGGGTGTTGGCGCACCACCCAAATGCCCAGCCGTGTTGGAGCAGTCGTGGAGTTTTGTTGCGCCCAGACGAGCTTCGCGGGAGCTGCGCAAGATGTCGCTCGGTAAATAATCCTTTCCCTTGGCTCTGGAATGGTAGGAGCGTAAACAAGCTGGAAGGGTGGCGTTCCTAGCCGGTAGGTATATTGGCACGCAAAATGTGAGAGGAATAGGCAGAGACGCGCACACGGCTCACTAAGACAAGACAGCAGATTCCGCCAGATTCGCCGTCAGCTTCCAGCCTACGGCCAACTGCAAAGGCGACTATTAAACAACTCGACGGCCGAGCATCCGCGACACTGGTCAGGTCTGGTAGGGTCTGGTCTGGAACCTGAAGGAAAGCAACAGCTAAGGCAGGCGGTCCCTTAGCTGCAGCTCTTCTTACCCGCCGTGACCTTAAAGGCTGGAGCATGTCGCGTCGACCACTCAGAAGCCCAACGACCCATGTCACCTGCCCAGTGCAGATGTCTGAAGAATACGCGGACATCTCAATCATGCGGCACTGTGTTCCCACTCTTGTGTGTGGGGAGTGGGTGTGGTACGTCGACGAGTCGTGACATAAGGCAAGCCCGGGTGCCTCTCTTCTTCAAGCTAAGCTTCCTGGCCTAGGTAGGTATCTTAGCTGCGGTACAATGACTCCAACATCCATGTCTAAGTTGCTGGCTATTCCAGATCGACTATTAAACAACTCACTCATTGTCAAGACATCCTTACGTTGCCGGCAGACAACGTTAACGATTTTTTGCCGCCGCGGCCTTCTCATGAAGCTCTCAAGCCATCGGTGTTACATGAATTTCCTATGAAGAGGTTCATCTCCAGAATGGCTACTGTTGCACCCCGCCGGTTCGCCCCGTTGAAGGATGGAGCCGCGGCCAACTCAAACGCCCCGCGGTTGAAAGGCATCGTCTTTGACGTTGACGGAACGCTATGGTACGTAACTTGGGAAACTCTCATTGCTTGTGTTCTCCTTCAGTTATTCATTTGCCTCGCAAACTCATCTCATCCTTTTATCGGCGTGTCACGAGACGGGACGTCAATCTTGGCCTTCTCACTTGATAAGCAATGGATTCAACCGTGACTTCAGTGGCCAATGAGATCATCATCCATCATGCTAGACATGAGCTTTACTGACAACATTAGTGAACCCCAAACATACATGTTCAAAGAAATGCGCGATGCTCTCAAGATTACAAAGTCCGTCGACATCCTCGACCACATTTACGCTCTCCCGACCCCAGAGGCCCAAGAAACGGCAATGGAGTCCATCCGACAGATCGAGTGGACTGCCATGGCGTCGCAGGTCGCCCAGCCTGGCCTCGTCGAGCTGATGTCTTACCTCGACAGCCGTGGTGTCCGGAAGGGCATCTGCACCCGCAACTTCGATACGCCCGTTGCCCACCTCCTCGGCAAGTTCCTGGAAGGCTCCCTCTTTGAGCCAATCATCACTCGCGATTTTCGTCCGCCAAAGCCTGACCCTGCCGGTATCCTGCACATCGCCAAAAGCTGGGGGCTGGTCAAAGAAGCACCGATCGGGGCTGATGGTCAAGAAGCGCAGGGCGATGCGACTGAGCTCATCATGGTAGGAGACTCGATCGACGACATGACGGCTGGCCGAAGAGCGGGCGCGGCGACAGTGCTCCTCGCAAACGACGTGAACGTGCATCTGGTGGACCACGAGCATACCGACCTCGTAATACGGCGCCTGGATGAACTGATTCCTATTCTGGAGGACGGATTTCACAGTAGAGAGACTGGAGCTGCATAGTGAGCTAGTCGTTCACAGGACAGATGTCGGCCGCATCATGAAGCCTGTTGTTGGTGAGGGCTACCAAGGGCGCGGTGATATCACATCAATGTAATCTAGGCACAGGACTGCTCAAGCATTTGTGACTTTGTCTAGATAGCATGTACGCCCACAATGAAAACCCTTCCTCCAAGCTTGCTACATACATGATCCCCTACGTGGGACTTTGACAAAACCCCTCCCGTCCTGGTCACGGTTGGTCGACGCCGCTCTGTCCAAGCTTTCTAAAAAGGCTGAATCGTCGGGCGTCTTACAACAGACGACCGAGTTTGCAAGAGGTTGATATCAATACATGCGCCAAGTGATGCAGAGAAAGACCGGAAAATCCTTTTGGTTTCGCCCAGACCGACTGCTGGACCGCTGAGGTATGTCGGGACCTTAGATAAATGGATCCTCCAGGCCGATGACGTTGTCTACACGCGACGTCCTGCGACCTCTGACACCATTCTGCGGGAAGCGTTGAGAAGGGTAGATTGGAGCTGAGGCGAGGGGTCGTTCTACCTGATCTTCAGATGCTGGTCGGAAGGCTGTTTGCATGGGCATGCTGCAGGACTTCGGACCTTGGTCAACAGACGCTTCTAGTTGTTGTAGCGAAACAACACGGTTTGGCGCTCTGCTATGCTGTGCTTTCGCTTGGGGTACCCGTGGCCGAGCGCCGCGAGTGTAGTTGAAGCCTCCCTGTGCCTAGTTGGAAGTGCCGTTATACACATCGCTCGCGTAGCTTCGGGGTGCTGGCGGCATGCCGAATGTGGCTTGTCTTCTGCTCTCTCTCCTGGTCTCATCTGGGGTGCCCTTCCGAGGAGGGGCTGGCGGCAGCGGACCACCAGGCGCAGGACGAACAGGAAGGCTAAAAGATGCAGCATTGGCGCTCACAGGGCCAGCACTGTTGGGATATTCGCCGACCTTGGGGATCGAATTGGTCGTAACAATCCGCTGTCCCATCCCGGGGTGACCAGCCGCCTGTTGTCGGCTGCTGATGGCGTTGATGCCGTTTCTGGTGGGGGAGCGGTTGGAGTGGGTGGCAGGTTCGCGCGGAGAGATGATACCAGCTCCCGCGATGGGAATTTCCCCTGACGTCGGCGTGTCAAGCGAGCGGTCGTTTGTAGATCCGCCCTGATATGTCGGGGAGTCACTGGAATTCAGGAGGTCTCGAGTCGCGGGAGAAAGCTGGGGCGCAAGGTGAGATTTTCTGTTGTCCCTCTCCATTAAACCAACAGCCCATTCCCTCAAGTCTACGGGGGTTCTCTTGGCAGCTTGAACAAAAGGATCCCGGTCCTAGCACATATGCGATTAGCTGGAGAAGCCCACGTCAGCCAAGGGCTGGACTTACAAAAAGTTCCTGAGGGGTAGGTCGCTCGTCGGGGTTCTTGAAAAGACACTTCTGAATCATATCCTCCAGAATGGAGGGGAAAGCATCGCTTTTGGGTAGCTTGGGCGCGGGTTCGTGTACAATCTGCTGTAACAGATCCAGAATGCCAGCTGGGGCGCACTCGCCGTCGGAAAGCTGCTCGCTCGCGTTGAATGGGAACTTGCCGATGGCAAGCTCCATGATACTCAGACCAAAACTCCACACATCGGATTTGACAGTGTACTTCTCGCCTTGAATTCGCTCAGGAGCCATGTATGTCGATGTTCCAACGAATGTGTCTGCAACGGAGTTGATAAGTTCTCCAGACACACCGAAGTCGCACAGCTTGATACTTCCTCTCGAGTTCACCAGGATGTTTGACGGCTTGATGTCTCGGTGCATGATGTGATGCTTGGAGTACAGGTAGGTCAAGCCGCCGAGGGTGGCCACAGCAATCTTGCCAAGAACGTCTACTCGGACTGGGCCGAAGACCTTGGATACCCGGTCTAGCGCGCTGTGCTGAGTTAGCATGCATCCTCCGCCCTACCAAGGACTACAACATACCCGACATCCATATACTCCATGCACATAATGACATCGTTGTGAGGGTTCAGAAACGCGCCGTAGAAATTTACGATGTACTCGGATGAGCAGCCGTGCATAATCTGAAGTTCGCGGACAATGCGCTTGCGCATCTCCTTCTTGGCTTCCACGTGGATGACCTAGAGGCGTCGATCAATACCGGTTGCTGCATTCCTCTCCAAGTGATGACTTACCTTGCGAGCCATGACAGTCCCAGTCAACACGTGCTTGACCTTACTGACAGTGCCTCCATTTCCGGACCCAAGCTCCTTCAAGATCTCCAAGTCCTCCGGCCGCAAGTCCAGCTTGTACTCGATGCCAATCTCCAACTGCGCTGACTGCTCCCCGCTATCTTTATCGCGGGGATCATAGCCATGTCTGCTGGTTTCGGCAGTCGGTGGGGGTTTCGGTGCAGCAGGCGTCAGGGCGAGGCCCTTGACGTTCTTGCGCTTCATAGACCGGGGCGCGAAGGGGTCGGCCATTTTGGGAGTGAAGCTTTCGCTGTGTGATTCGTGCGGCGAATGACCAAGTTTGAAGCTGAACAGAACCAGCTCAAGTTACAACGAAAAGGCCGTTGACATGCCCTTCCGTGATGGTATGGATATGGACCGAGCGAAGAGCTACCCTGAGAATCCGCCGTAGGATTGAAGAGTCGCGACCATATGTTGGGGCGCGCTCGTAGAATAAGACGGCGGCAAGGTAAGGTTCCGGCGACGGGGTAATCGGGGTCGTCGGGTGAGGATCGGGAACGAGAGAGAGAGGCGGCGGATGGGCGTTTGGCAACGGGAGAACGTTGCTATCGCAGAGTCGCAGTGGCCGAGTGGTGGGTTTTAGTATCTCGCGGTGGACCGGAGCGATGGATAGATTCCGAGGTCGATGACTGCCTGCAGAAAGGGGGAAAGAGGGGCGTAGATGGCTCGAAATTTGTCGGTGTGGTTGTCGTCGATGGTGTCCCGTCCCGTTTCGGCCAAGGTGGGGTTGGACGGCGTGGTAGGGAGGCGACTCCGAGGAAGAGCGAGGGGGGAGGGGTGGCGAGCGAGAAATAGGCAACGTGCTCCGTGGTCTTGGGAAAGGAGTTAATGAGACCTCGTAGACGCAAATGAGGTTGCTCTCGATAGGAAAATAGGCGGTACGTGGGTCGGGTCTGGTTGGTGAAGGAGGAGACGGGGAGGGGAGGAGGGGAAGGGATGGGGAAAAAAAGATGGAAAGGGTACACAGCAGAACCAGACGACGGAAACAGATGCAGAAGTGAAAGGGAAGAAAAAACACTGGAGCGTTCAGGATTCAGATTGGACTGGACTGGACTGGTGGGAGTAGAATGGGAGAAGACTGGCCCGGTCAAAGGTTCCAGGCTTGGTTTACAAACATCCAGTCAGTGACCAGCAGTGAGATGTGCCTCTCAGTGCCTAATGCGAAGTGCAAAGTGCAGCAGTGAATGGGGGGAGGGGAGCTGGTGCAGAGGGGCAGAGATGCAGAGATGCAGGAGTGCAGAAGTGCAGACTCGGGCGCTGGTTGGTGCTCAGGCTGCTGCCGTGAAGGCGAGCAGGTGCAGGTAAATCCAGGTCCAGGTTCAGTGTGCGGATGCAGCCCACCAAAGAGCCACGGTCCAGTCCGGTCCCGTCCACTTAGTCTGCTTTAGATACCACCTAAAGTAGGCATTGCCATGTACTCTGCGCCTATCCATCGTCTTACACCGGTCTCCAGCATGTCTGGCCGACAAATCAGCGCCCAGGGACGGTTTCGGATCACACGAAGCCTGCTGTTGTTGTGTCTTCAGAACCCAAGCCCCAAACTCCCAACTTTCCAAGGTCTGCGCCGATGGCGGATGCGATGAATACCTTCTATTACCTTACCTCCGAGGTTGCCTTGGGTACCCGACCTCCTTCCTCCCACAGCATCTTAGCACCAGTCTTGACGGGCCACAGCCCAGCACTAGACCGGGCCAGTGTTTTAAAGGCGTCAAGACCCAGCCCCGGAGTACGGGATAGAGGTAACTTGACGCACGTTTTAGGGCCACAGTGGCAGCCAAACGCTTGAATCTCTAGGGGGCCCTGTAGAATCGTGGGGCCACTAGTGAACATTCGCGACGGACAAAGGTGGACATGCATCCTCTACTATTTTGCAGTGCCCAGGGAAGTACCTTCTATCTAAATTCCGACATCGACGGCACGTTTTCGAGATGCCCGCTTGAAGTACCTTACTGCATAGTACCTCACCACTCGCGCCCTGTCTTCCGTACGGCTGCCCTTTGGCCAATCTTTGTAAGTCTGCCAACGACCGTCACTCCTGTGGCCACACCTAGCCAGCCTGTCAGCTTGTCGGCGCCAGTAGCAGGCTTCGGATTGGGCTACGACACCCGAGAAACACGCCCAGCCGCATCAACCCAACTCTTTCCTTCCAACGACGTACGACCTCGTCATTTGCCTGTGTGCCTGACATCCAGTTGAATGCTTCCCGGCGACAGACGGCAAACGAAGTGAGGCAGAGAAGGCGACAGAAAGATAGAAGATCTTGTGTGGAGCGCCAACAGAGACTTCTACCGTCTCTCGTCTAAGAATACCACCCACCTCGTCCAGACGTTGAAAGCAGATGTACATCAATGATCGCCCCTCACTGTCTTCTTTCACATTTCAGATAGCTCAGTCCAATCCAATCCTGTGGACTTCTCCATCACCCTCTCAACCCATCACACCAACCTCCTGGCTTCAGACAGGGGCCTGGTCGTCTGTACGTTGAAAGCTGGGACTTGGACTGATGCGATGAATCGCTTCGAGCCAACGATGGCAGAGAAATTCCACTTCTCCCGCACCGGGGCCTTGAATCGCCAAACGGGCTGGTGTCTCAGTGTCTCGCCGCCCGTCCTTATTGGCCCCTCACCCCCAACTAACCCGTGCGTCTGTGTGTATGACCTGCTTCCCGACGGGCTCCATCTGGTTGCCCAAGCGCGAAAAAACGTGCTATCGCGGGCTGCACGATGGATCCGTGGCTCGCTTGTCGCTGTTGGCTGCAATGCGCTTCCCTGTGACGGCGCTGTCTTGTGTCATGTTGATAGACAAAGAACGGGGTCCCTAAGGGCTCAACCGACCTATTCGACTCCTTTTGACTCAGTTTCTCCCAATCATGAACTCAAAAACATATTTTTCGACGAATCCCCACGCAAAGTAGCCCACGTCTTCACCTACCCATGTCCACTCGCAACAAGCAGGTTGGCATCCGATATGTCCTTTCGAGTACGGGATAAGGCGGGATAGGAAACTAGTCCGTTTGGTAACCAAGCATGCCGTCCCAAACACTGCATTTTCTGGAACTCTCACCGCTCACGGCAGCTTGTTTGCTGGCGAATCGCCGACCTGGAGCCACTGTGTTGAGTAAGCTCGTCAACGTGATCAATGGTTATCGACCTCTGTAGTAACCCTGTTCCTTGGGAAGACATTGAAATTCAGCGTGGAGAGTCATGAGCTACGACCATTGAATGGCGGGTTGTGGATTAGCAGACTGGGGTAGCTAGTTTTCCTGGGATTGACCACACCCAACAGGGAAGGTAGGGGTCTCGCCTGGGGACAAGCTTAGGTAAGTTGGACTGCGCTGGCTAAGGTATCTCGGACTAACTGATAAGATAAGGAGTATCGGATGTCGGATAATTGTAGCCAATTGAACCTGCCTGCGCGAGGCTGAGGTCCAGCGAACGAGGCGCGCAAAAGGTCCAAGCTTTCAATTATTCCCAGTGCAGCGGCGACCGAAATTTGTCTGGCGACGGGCGCATTTCTTCAGTTTTTAATCATTTTCTTCCAGCAACCATCCCAATCCTTCGACTCGAGACCTCGCGAATACGGATTCAGCTGAAAAAATCTGACTGCCGCAAAGTCTCGCCGGCAACTCTGTCTTCGAACCTTTCATCGCGCCGAACCCGCCAGCAATCACGACGTGACATCAACCGCGTACTGCGACTGCCCTTTTTGGCGAGTTCAAGATGAGCAAGTCGATGCGTGACTTCGTTGACGGCGAGGCCGAGCTCGATGATGAGGATGACGAGTCCATGGATGAAGATGCCGAGCCCGTTTCTCGCAGGAGGAACGTTGCCCCTGAGGATTCTTCCGAGGAAGAAGAAGACGACGATGACGAGGAGGAGGCGCGTAAGGTAGGGAGGACCCAGCGCCGTGCTGTAGAACCGGTCACTAATCCAAGTTTCTCCAAAGATTCGCGAAGGTTTCATCGTCGACGAGGATGAAGAGGAAGAAGGCGAGGACTCAGATGCCCAAGAACGGATCGTGAAGAGGAAGCGCGAGCACCGCGATCGGGAAGAAGAGGAGCAGCTTGACGAGGACGATTTGGAACTCATTGGAGAACAGATCGAACGTCGAGCACCCACACAAGTAGGCAGGCGCCTATCAACATGCGCCGCCTTACTCCTTACTGACAGCTACCTAGCCAAAATTCAAACGTTTGAAACGAGGACATCGAGACGAAGATGATAGAGGCCCCGAGCGACGCGGCTTGGAAGACATGTTTTCGGACGAGGACGAGGAGGCCAACGAACAAAGACACTACGGCCGAGCGAATTACCGCTCCCAAGCTGACGAATTCGATGACTTTATTGAAGAGGACTTCCCCGAGGACGAGGACGAGCGAGCGCGTCAACTCGAAGATGCAGAAGTGGCACGGCCGCGCGACAAGGGCGTGGGCGGTGTCGTGGACACCACTGGCCTTGATAAGGATGCTTTGGAGGACATGGAAGCCATTTTCGGTAACGGCGAGGACTACGACTGGGCTCTGCAGATGGAAGACGAAGAAGAGGATCGCGAGCGTGAAGAGCAAACCATCGAGCTTAAGGACGTCTTCGAGCCGTCTCAGCTGAAGGAGAAGTTGCTCACCGACGAGGACAACCAAATCCGATTTACCGACGAGCCCGAAAGATTCCAGCTGGACCGAAAGCCATTCAAGCATCTGCAAATAACTGCAGAGCAATTCAAGGAAGAAGCCAGGTGGATCGCAGCTTTGATGTGGCCCAAAAAACTTCTCCAGTCTGAACTTCATTCGCCCTTCACCAAGGCTATCGGCAAAGTTCTTGAGTTCTTCGTCGTCGACGACGTTGAAGTGCCGTACGTCTTCCAACACCGCAAGGACTACTTGATTCACGCCAAGAAAACGAAGAACCCCGACCATCGCGATGATCCCGACGCCCCTGAGTACATCGTCAGCGCCGACAAGCTGCTTACTCAGGACGACTTGTGGCGCATTCTCGAGCTTGACATCAAGTTTCGCTCTCTTATTGAGAAGCGGAACTCGTTGGAGAAGGCATTTGAGAGCCTAAAAGAGTCGGCCAGCGTTAACGATGATGTCCTGACAGACATGATTTCCCAGGCTGCCACCATGGAGGAGCTGCAGGACCTCCAGGACTACCTCCACTTCCAGTACACGGCCGAGCTGAAGGACCTGTCTTCAATCAACGGCAATGGCAATCAGATGAAGCGTCCGGGCTCAAAATCGAACTTGTTTGACCGCATTCGCAGAAGCAAAGCAGCCGGCTTTGTCCGCGCTTATGGCATCACCCCTGACCGTTTCGCGCAAAACACTCTTCGAGAGGGCAACAAAGTCTTTGCTGATGATCCCAGCCAACTCCCCGATGACCTCGCTGACTCGCTCACCGATGAGGACTTCCAGACTGGTGATTCCGTTGTAAACGCTGCTCGCCAGATGTATGCGGAAGAGTTATTCGCCAACCCCCGCATGCGGAAACACTTCAGGATCAACTTCTACCAGATGGGCGAGATAAACTGTCGTCGAACGGAAAAGGGTCTGAAGAAGATCGACGAGTCGCATCCGTTCTACGAAGTCAAGTATCTCATCAACCAGACAATTGCCGATGTTGCTCGACAGCCTGAACTCTACCTCAAGATGATGAAGGCTGAGGAAGAGGGCCTCATTGAGGTCAAGTTGACTTTGGAGAATGAGGACGGCTTTAAGCGCCAATTACGCCAAGAATTTATCTCGGACAACTACAGCGAAATTGCTGATCGGTGGAATGAGGAACGTCAAAAGGTGCTTGATATTGTTGTTCCCCGCCTTTCAAAGATCATCGCCAAGGGTGTCAAGGAGTCACTTCGTACAGCGTGTCAGGAGGAGGTGCTCAAGTCTTGCCGCGAAGAGTACGCCAAGAGACTCGATCAAGCACCGTACAAGCCCAAGGGCATGATTCTCGGTACCGTGCCTCGAATCATCACGTTGTCCAACGGTATGGGAGATCCCGCCCGAGATGCCACTTCATGGGTCTCAGTCGAGGAGGATGGTCGCGTCATTGAACAGGGCAAGCTTGGCAATCTCGCGCGTGACGAAGCCGCCCGTGCGGAATTTGTTGACATCGTCAACAGACGCCGCCCCGATGCCATCGGTGTCAGTGGCTTTTCCGCAGACACCCAGAAGCTTGTTAGAGATTTGGAGTCGTTGATCAACGAAAAGGGCCTGATGGGCCCTGAATTCGACGATCCTGAGCTTGGCGAATACAGGACCGAGCCCCTCGAAGTTATCATCGTCAACGATGAAGTTGCCCGTCTGTACAAGGACAGTCCGCGAGCAGTGGCTGAACACCCGACCCTTAGCCCTCTCACGAGATACTGCATCGCTCTGGCGCACTATATGCAGAACCCGCTGAAGGAATACGCTGCTCTAGGCAAGGACATTGCGTCGTTGGCTTTCCACCCTTGCCAGAACCTTCTGCCCCAAGAAAAGCTACTCAAACATCTGGAGTCAGCGATGGTCGACATGGTGAACCTGTGTGGCGTGAACATTAACGAGGCTATCGGGGATTCATACACGGCTAATTTGCTGCCTTATGTTGCTGGCCTTGGCCCGCGCAAGGCTACCAGTGTCATCAAGGCTATCAACGCGAATGGCGGATCTGTCAGCAGCAGAGACGAGCTGGTCGGTGATCCGGACAGCGGAAAACTGCCAGTCGTGGGCCCTAGAGTATGGAACAACTGCGCCAGTTTCCTGTTCATCGACTACGATGCGACAAATCCAACCTCCGATCCCCTGGACAATACTCGTGTCCACCCCGAGGACTACGAACTTGGTCGCAAGATGGCGGCTGATGCTTTGGAACTCGATGAGGAAGACGTCAAGGCCGAGACAGATCATAACGGCCCCGGGGCCATTGTCCGCAAGCTTTTCAAGGAGGACGAACAGGAGAAGGTCAATGAGCTCATTTTGGAGGAGTATGCCGAGCAGCTGGAGCGAAACTACAGTCAAAGGAAGCGCGCGACCCTCGAAACCATCCGAGCCGAATTGCAAGCGCCGTACGAAGAACTTCGACGCAACTTTGCCGCACTTGGCGCGAACGAGATTTTCACAATGTTTACTGGCGAGACGAAGGACACTCTTGCTCAGGGCATGATCATTCCGGTGAACGTTCGGGTTGTGAAGGACGACTTTGCGATTGTGAAACTCGACTGCGGTATTGAGGGTCGTATCGAGTCGCACGATGGCCCCGACGGCGTACGGGTACGAGGCATTCTCTCGACGGGGCAAACGGTACAAGCCAAGGTTCTGGATGTGAATTACAAGGACTTTATTGCCAAGCTCTCCGCCCGCGATGCCGAAGTCAAGCGCCCGTACAAGCGGCAGCTCTACCACGGTCATGGGCAGTGGGATGACAGACTCGAGGCAGCCGATAAGGAAGAGCTGCGCGAGAAGGATAAGACCACGGGTCGCACTCAGAGAGTCATCAAGCACCCCATGTTCAAGCCTTTCAATGGTTTGGAGGCAGAGCAATGGCTTGGTACTCAGCCAGCCGGAGAAGTCATCATCCGTCCCTCTTCCAAGGGCAACGATCATCTTGCTATTACCTGGAAGGTCGCCGACGGTGTCTTCCAGCATGTTGATGTCTTGGAATTGCAAAAAGATAATGAGTTCTCGGTCGGCAAGCTGCTCAAGGTGGGCGGAAAGTTCACCTACAAGGATCTTGACGAACTGATCCACGAGCACATCGAGGCCATGTCTAGAAAGGTGGACGAGATGATGCAGCACGAAAAGTTCGAGAAGCGCTCCAAGCCAGACCTCGGTAAGTTGACCTGTAATTCTTTTGACAAGTTGTCGATCAAAGCTAACAATGTTTGCAGAGAAATGGCTTACAACGTACATTGACGCCAACCCCAACCGATCCGCCTACGCCTTCTGCATCGACACCAAGCACCCTGGCTACTTCTGGCTCTGCTTCAAGGCCAGCCGTTCGTCGCGAGTCAACTCCTGGCCTGTCCGCGTCATTCCCGGTGGCTTCGAGCTGCTGAAACAGGCCTACCCCGACATGAGAGCGCTCTGCAACGGCTTCAAGATTCGGTACCAGACTGAGATCACCAAGATGCAGAAGGGCGGTAGATAGGTTCCCCCCTCCGAGTCGAGGGATTACAGAAGAGGCGTTGCGAACATCGGCAGCTACTACTGAGACTGATGATGATGGGCGAGGCACTCGGTGACGAGAAAATTACTGCAGTCGGGGAATGAGTCGTCGCCTGCGCCCGAGCCGACGGTGGCGGCTATTTGTTTATTTTAGTATTTTCCAGGGCAATTCCGGAAACATTGGACGAGATGGGAAGGGGGCGAAGAGCGGAAGATCAAGATCAATCAGCATTCATGTAAAAGTATTACCTAAAAGCTCAGAAGGCTCAGGGCCATAGATAAAAAAAATATTGGCGTCTATTGATGAACATCCGTCTATGATCTGGCGTGAAGTACTCGAGGTGATCTCGCTCGCTGTAGAAAGTTCGCATGTGCCGAATGCCTTGGGGTCCAACATGTATATCCCGTGCCTGTGGTCGTAGAACAGCGTAGGTAGGCATATGAGGAGGTTACGTTCGAGCCTCAGCAACAGCGCCTGGAACAAACGACCGTGAATATGCCCTGTATTGGTACAGCAGTTATACCAGCTGAAACACAGAGATCATGCTTATCCAGCGTCAGAGCCTTTGGTCTCGAATCCCTTTTTATCTCTTTCTTCGCCTGGTTTTTTTTCGGGTCTTTGTCTGGTTCCTGCCTCTCAAAGAAAGGGTCGAGATTGTGGAATATCTGCGAGAGCCCTCCCCATGCAGCGATCCTCACGAACATGCCGATGATAGAAATGACAAGTGTTTAGAGAACCACGGTAAGTAACTGTTTAGGCAAAGCAAGGGCAATGTAATCCACTAGGCAAACGGAGAGAGGGAACATTAGTGGCAAGCTCCAATCGTATTATTGAATAGAAAAGCTGTCTTCACCAGAAGCGAAATTCTATGTACACAACGTCTAAAATTTAGATTCTATGTGAAGCAGATTTGTGACAAAAGGAACGTAATGTGCCTCCAAACGAGACAATGGCATATCCATTCCCCGGATCATTTATCCAGGAATCATATCATGACACCTTTACAGAACGAAGACGGCAAAAGCGCCGACCGCCATGAGGGCAAAGCTGACGCCAGCCTGGACGGCGTTGTTGGTGATGACGGGCTTCGTCGTCGCCGGGCAGCTGGCGCCGGAGCAAACCGTAGTGGAAGCGCCGGGGGCGGTGCCAGAGGCCTTGGCGCTGGACACGGTGGATGACTTGGTGACCGTGGTGGTGGAGTTGCTGTAAGTGTTGCCGTTGTTGCTCTTGTTTGTGTTGCTGCCACCGCCGTTGTTGCTGTTGTTGCTCTTGTTCGTATTGCTGCCGCCCGTGGTCTTAGCAGGAGTGGTGCTGACAGTGATAACCTTGGTGACCTTGGTCGCGGGGGTGGTCTTGGGGGTGGCCGGAACACCAGGGGTCGTAACCTTTGTGACGGTCTTGGTCGTGACGCTGCCGATGGGGCAGTTGGGAACGGAGGCAGGACACTTGGTGATGGTGTAAGTCGTGGTGTAGACCTTTGTAGAGACCTTGTCGTTGCTGCCTCCGTTGGCGGGCTTAGTGGTTGTCTTGGGGGTCGTCTTGGGCGTGGGAGTGATGACCTTGGTGGTGACCTTCGTAGTCACGCTGCCGATAGGGCAGTTGGGGACGGAAGACGGGCACTTAGTGATGGTGTAGGTCTTGGTGAGGACGGTGGTCCTGACGCCAGGGGGGGTCGTCTTGGTGGTGGGTTTGGTGGTGTTTTTGTTGACCTTTGTGGTGGCCTTCGTGGTGTTGCTCTTGTTCACCTTGGTCGAAGCCTTGCCATTGCCCTTGGCGGAGGTAGTCTTGACCGCGGCGGTGACGGGGCAAACGGTAGTGTAAAGGGCAATGGTCTTGGTCACGACGGCGCCGACTGGGCAGTTTGTGACGGTTGGGGCGCAAGAGGTCACAGTGGAAACCTGGGTGGTGAAGACTGTTGAGGTAGTCAACTGGACGACGGAGGACGAAGAGACAACAGGGGTGGGAGCGGGGATGACGGAAGTCTGGTTCCAGTTGTTGGTGATGGTCGAGAACGCGCTGGCGGTTCCAGAGACGGGACCAGTCCCGGCGTCGGTGACAGAGCCGGAAGCAGAGGCAGCAGCAGAAGAGACGGAAGCTGCGCTGGACCCGGGGCCGGATGCTTGGGAAGAAGCAGAAGCGGACGCGGAAGCGGAAGCAATGTCGGAGGAAGCAGAGCCAGAGGCAACAGCAGAGCCAGAGGCAACAGCAGAGCCAGAGGCAACAGCAGAGCCAGAGGCAACAGCAGATCCGGAAGCAGCGGCAGAGCCAGAGGCTGTGGCAGAGCCAGAGGCTGAGGCCTGAGCAGAGGCGGAGCCGCTGACCGAAGCAGACGCAGTGGCACTGGCACTAGCAGAATCGGTGGCAGAGAGGCTAGAAGCCGATGCGCTGGCGGAAGAAGACTGACTGGCAGATGCGGAGGCGGAGACGGAGGAAGAAGCGGACGAGGACGCCGTGGAAGAGGCAGAGGAAGAGATAGTGGAGGAAGTCCGACCGCCCTCCTTGAAGATGCGGATGTCCTTGACCTTGAAGTATGTGTCGCTGAAAGCCGATGGGTTCGTAGCGGCGTAGGTAGAGCAAACAGCATGGCCTGTGGCGGCCTTGCATTCGCTACCCCAGACGCCATCATTTCCGGCAAGCACACCACACATGCCGATGTTAATGACGAGTCTCTGGTCCTTGAAGTGGCTGTTGATGTTGCAGGCATCGTTGGCGATCAGCATGCTGGGAGTGCCCCAGGTGGCGGTGTCAGGGGAGTCGGAGTTGACGTTGTCCGGAACCGAGCCCCATCGCCAGGAGAAGAACTTGATGTAATCATCGGTCCACTCAACAGCGTAGACACCGCCATCGGAGGAGCCGTAGGGGTCAGAGGAGGTGGTCGAGCTTGTGCAACCTTGGTTGGAATACTGATTGGGCGCCTCCTGATCACAGTTGGGCGTGTCCACCTGGGCAGTCTGTCCAGTCGAGCTGATGAGGCACTGGCCTTGTTCCGAGGACTTGTAGGTGTGAGCGGCGGGCTTGTTGACCTTGTTAAGGTTCCAGCCTTCGAACCAATCGAGCTCTCCCTTCGTGGGCCAAGGCGAACCGTACGACCAGCTTTGCCAATGTTAGTACCAATGTTGACAACAGTGTAACTAACAGACTTACAAGGCAGGCCAAGCACCACAGACGGGCTTGGGCAAGTGAGAGAAGCGAGCGACAATCAGAGCCTTGTTGTAGACTTCCTTGCTCTCAAGTCTCACACTGGAGCGACCAACACCAGGGAACTGGGTGATACTCTTGGCGTCGAGGCCCAGGTAGATCTCGCCACCGGCGGTGGACGCGAGACCCAGGGCTTGGGCATCCGCCTGGGAGCGGTAGTTGATGTAGCCCGAAGTTGGGTCGACGTCGTTGTAGTTCGAGGTGTTGTAGTTGCTCTCGAAGAAGGTGAACTTGCTGAAGAAGTTGGTCGAGTCGTACGTATCGGTCAGAGAAAACTTCTTGGCAGCAACATCACCAGCCAAGGCCAAGGCAGCAGTGCCGATGGTAACGAGCGAAGGGGCCATTTTGAGCGGTATTAAGATTATTGAAACGAGAGACTAGGTATTAGGTGTCTGTAAAAACGAGTGACTTGACGAAAGATACGTCGTTGGACGAGCAAGGCGGCTCTGGAGGTTGCTGGACGGCACAGGAGTTGTCGAGGTGCTGCGTGAAGAGGGGAGGGAAAAGGAAACCCTTGTCGAGTGGACAAGGTGCCCTCTTATGAAGCCCTTGGTTGCACATCGCGAGTGTGTGGTTGAAAGACTCTCTCTGCTAGCAAGTCGGGCACTTACACGCGGGCAGGGGGCACAGCGGCATCGCGGCAAGCCAGCCTAGTGAGGGCTGGGCTTCTCCTGGAAGGGGTAGCTCTCGATGGCCTGGCAAGCTTTCCAAAATCGGGTAGGGGTCGCTTGGTCGAGCAACTGGGGCCCAGAAAGGAAAAGCCTATGTTGAATAAGGCCTCACGATAGCAGCTGGGAAGCACGCGAGAGTCCAATAATGGCGGCTTCGGAGCCAAGCGCCGTAAGGTCCGGGCACAAGTTCGGTGGAGGTTCCTTTCCTGCGGGTCAGGTCTGCGGGAAAGGGGCCCGGGAAATTGCGAAAAAGGCAATGATTGACAGCGATTGGAGGGATCCCGCGATGGCTGCCACGGGGCGCCGCGATATGTTGCCAGGGTCGCGAGTGTGTCGCCCGATGTGCTAACTTGAAGTGACCCTAGCGTCGTGACTATTCGAACGTGGTACAGAACGCAAGCCTTCAGCGACAGCCGCACCTAGTGGCGTTGCGGCTATCTGGTTCGTAACCGTGACTCAGAACCACCCTCCCCTTTCCTACGACACGTTGTCTGGGTCGCCGGATGCACTTGTCAAGTTGGCGTGATGTCTAATGCAGGTACGTGATAACGGCCAGCAGAGGCAGGTGTTCGTCAGACATAGTTGCTGTTCTGGGCTGTGCCACATAATTCAATATTCTCCCCCGCGGCGTAGAAAAACATGAGTCGTTCGAGGTGCTTTCCTGCGATCAATTTCCACTTGCTTCGACAGTTCTTTTCGACATACACGTGCAATGCCAAGGTCATTGAGCAACAGGACTCTTGAACAGTCAATAGAGATTTGAGACATGAGGCTTCAGGTGAGAGATGGACGTCGATGAAGCCTTCCGCCTGGTGGCTATTCTGGGAGAGCTGAAGGAGTACGGAGCGTCAATGCGGCTATCACTTGGCACCGTCACAGCGCTCAGAGAGGGAAGAATATGGGCGAGTTGTGAACGTCTTGGTGGGATAGTGAGGGGTTTACTCCGTTGATGCCAAGTGAAAATCTCAGGTCGGCCACCAGTTTTGAGCTATGCCCAAATAGAGCCAACGCCGAGCCAAAAAGCTGCTTTAAGCCTTTAGACCACAGTTCAACCACGATAACCCAAAAGCAATGGCATCGTGCCGGGGTTGTTAAATTACCAAGCTGTGGTCA